TGCATTCGCGTTTGCTGTATGGTGTTCTGACTGGTCGTTTCCAATGGAACATTGACACGAAACTCCACAGCTTTTCGACACTGCTCAGAGGAGGCTGAACGTCTGTCGCATAGTGAAACCGCTTATAAATTCCCCGCACAACCTCGAGAGCAAGCAAACATGTATCCAGCAGCCTTTCTCTACACAACCCCGTCTCAGCCCTCGGTAACACCATGAAAGAACACTTCAAGCACACCCGACTCCCGTCCCACGCGTTCGGTAACCCATCCATAAGCCATCCATTCTTTTCTCTACAAAAATGCGCATATACCCTTTACAGACGACAGATCTACAGACCCTGAAGCGATGATGGTCGCTTACTGCGGCAGTGGCCGTGGTTGAGGAAGAAGCAAGACGGGAAAAGCCCTCTTCTAGCCTCCACGCTCGAGCACCAACAAGCCTATAATTAGGTATACGCTGAGGGAGACAGAGCTTCGGACTCCGATGTCCTTTCCATTCTTCTTTAGCACGCGGCACTCTTCGGAAGCAGGGCGTGTTGGGCCTGCTTTTGCGATTGCCCGAGCCGAGAAGATGTCGTGCTCAGCCAAAGCAATGCAGGTAGGAGAAAAAGGAACGAGGTACAGTGTAATGGTCGTGCTCGTTGTCTAGAGCGTCGGAACGTTGAGATCACAGTTGCGCAAAAGAAGTTATTGTGGACAGAAGATTCGCATATCAATTTCTTTGGTTCCTCTCATAGCGAGATAATAACTCTTGAAGACTGGAATTCAGAACAGTCTTCACCAACTTAAGAACCACCTTGCGCCGTTGCTTACGTGTTCATTGCACCGAAGGTCAATCGTGACTTTTGTCCAAAAGAAAGAACCCTCTCCTGCACCTTTTCCGTCACTCCGTCCGGGCGGATTTTAGTTGTCCATGTAGGTGGACGAGTTGATACCATCCTCGGGGAACTCAGGAAGCTCGACCTGGAAGCGCTCCTCAATCGACTTGAGGACAGCCTCGTCGTCTGGGCTGCTCACAAACGAGATACTGAGACCCTTGGTTCCGAAACGACCGGCACGACCGACGCGGTGGAGGTAGGCATCGGCCTTGTCGGGCATGTCGTAGTTGATGGCCACGTTGATGCGCTCGACGTCGATACCACGACCGAAGATGTCGGTGGAGACACAGATACGGGTCTGGAACTCCTTGAACTCTTTGTAGCGCTTGATACTAGAAAAGAATTAGTTTTGAGCTAGCAAGTGGGGTACATTTGAGTACATACCGCTCTTCTTGGCTGATGCCAGAGTGGACAGCAGTGCTGGGGAAGTTGCACTCGCGGAGAAGCTTGTCGAGCTCAGAGCAGCGCAGAGTCGAGCGAACGAAGATGATGACCTGGTTGAACTCCAAGCTGTCGAGAAGGTCGTTAAGCTTCCGGTTCTTCTCCTTCTCGTCAAGCTTCATGTAGTACTGCTGGAGACCGTGAAGCGTCAACTTCTTCTCGTCATCGACGTAGATCTCGAGCGGGTTCTGCATGAACTTCTTGCAAACAACGCGCACCTCCTTGTTGAGGGTGGCGGAGAACATCATCACCTGCTTGTGCTGGGGTGTAGCGCGGAAGATGGCTTGAACGTCGTTGCGCATATCTGCAAAGTGTTAGCGGAAGTCGTCCAGGACAGACGGTTTGTACCGACCAGGCTGGTCCAACATCTTGTCGCACTCATCGAGGACGAAGTGCTTCAGGTTGGCAAGGCGGAGATGCCTATCGCGGACGAGGGCGTTGATACGACCGGGAGTACCGACGATGATGTGAGGGTGAGTGTCCTTGTTGCTAAGGAGCTCGATGTCCTTCTGAACGGGAGTTCCTCCGTAGAAGACACCAACCTTGACGTCAGGCAAGAACTTGGCGAAGCGGTTGTACTCGTTGCGGATCTGGTAGGCCAACTCGCGAGTGTGGCACATGACCAGGATAGTGGCGGTACCGGGCTCGGGCTTCTCGTCCATCTGCTGGAGGGTTGCGAGAACGAAGACGGCAGTCTTTCCGAGACCAGACTTGGCCTGGCAGAGGACATCGTTTCCTAGGATGGCCTGGGGAATGGTAACTTGCTGGACTGTAGGGTACACGTTATGTCAGAATGGTCTTTAAAACGGTCGAAACGAAGCGTGGGAAGCGAAGCGTCCGTCCATCTTGTGTAGCCGAGGTTTTCCATCTAGCGCGCGTGCCAGTCTGTCTATCCTCCCCATGCGCTCAGTGGTGTGCCTCCTCCTGTACACCCGCAACATGCACTCCCCCCCTGAAACCAGTCCTTCGGGACCACGGTAGTGAGCCAATAGGCACCACTGGCTTCTCGATGCATATACCGGTGCGCCTGCGAAATGCAGTGCGCGTCGACGCTCGTAGGTAGCGGAAGGCACTCGGTCCCTCGCCACTTTGCTCGAATATAGACAGACCAGGCCGCATTACAGATAGTGCTCGTTTCGTAGATGGACAGACGCTTGTAGGTGGATAAGGCTGAGGGGAATTATTAGACTAACCCTCGGAAGGATGTTCGAAGCCACAGTCCGTGATTGCTCGTACGAGCTCGTCCTTGAGCAAGAAGTCGCGGAAACCGGTCGAGTGGATGCCGACGTAGCTGCCCTTCTTGTCGCCTGCAGCATCACCGGCGGTGACGCCGCCCTTGGTTGCAGCTGCGCTGCCGTTGGCGGGCGCATCAGTCGTCTGGATCTCCTCGTCGGAGTAGTCGATGAGATCTTCCTCGTGAGACATGATGGATTATGTGTCCGTGTAAGAGTGTGTGTGGTGTGTAGAGTCGGTGATTGCGCGTGTCGCAAGTAAGGCTGCCAAACAAAGTGGAGTCGCGACGGTACCGAGGCGAGGTATTATACTAAGAGCTACGAGTAGAAGAGATCAGCAGTTGTTTCGCGATTTCACGATAACGCGAATTCGACGAGGTTGCTGTGGCTTGAGAGGTTCGTGGTGGGCGGTGGACAAGAGCGGTCGCCGGTCGCTCATGTCGAGGTAAAAAGCTCGGGGCGCCTTGCTGGGCGCGCGCTAGGCTGCAAACGGACTGCTCTGAATCACGACCCACTACTGCCAAATCCTCTGATCTTCCATCATCTATCTTTGAAACCGTAATTTACGTACAAGGCCAGACGACAATACAGCACAGCATTATGAGCAAGGTCAAAGCACCAAAGACGAAGGGCATACCGAACAAGCATCTGCACGCTCGCTCGACTTTTCTCTACCAAGCAGCCACATATCTGACGCTGCAAACGGCTACGCAAGAGGACGTCGCAGCTTGTGTCGCACAAGACAAAGATGATCGATCGATCGAGACCCAGCGACCTTCGCCGTTGGCACTCGAACTCGGATCCGATCTTCAACAGGTATCACGGAAAGGCCAGCTACGGCTGGCTGTCGACTTGAAGCGCTCCATGTGCAAAAGTTGTAATACAGTCCTTGTTCCTGGACGCACTCTTACTCAAAACATTGAAAATCCCAGCAAAGGCGGTAAGAAGCCTTGGGCAGATGTACTCGTCATTACTTGTCTCATTTGTGGCGGAAAGAAGCGGTTTCCAGTGGGCGCAACGAAACAACTCAAGAAGGCTAAGAGGATCACAACGCATACAAGTTCGTTGTCAAAAACTGCTTCGGAAGATGGCCAATGCTCAGAAACTACCTTTGCGACGGGTACTGAGTGACTTGACGTCACGTTGTGGTTTATTCCACTCATTTGCTACATGCCACGCCGGAATCGCTCAATTGAGGAACCCATGAAGGCCTCCAGAACTCCCGAATCGATTCACCAGGAAGAAAATGAGAGCTGCTATGGCTCAGACCGCGGAGATCACAGTGAAATACGCAGGAGCATTTGCCGCCTCTGAAATATGGTCGTTCAACGCACGTCCAGTTACGCCACGAGGGGATGTAAAGTTTCGCATGGACAATTTCTCCAGTCAAAAAGCCGAGCGGAAACATCGCATGAGAACAACTTGATCTTCACCAACCGTTCTCCTCAACGTAAACGATCATGGATAGTCAAGCTCCCAAGGAAAGCATATCGCCTCTCCAGTCTCTGCCACAAGAGATCCTGTCAAGCGTCTGCAGCTACCTACCGCAAGGGGCTCTCTACCAACTAACCCTCGTCAACAAACATATCGGTCAGCGCGTAGTACCAGCCCTGTACAGTTCCTTCAGCCAAAATGGAGGCGAAAGCATGCAAGTTCGACAGTACTTCAGAACCGCGGTGCGGGAGCCTGAGTTAGCTGAGCATCTTCGCGAGGTTACTATTCAGGGTTCTATCAGGATAACCCACAAGCAAATGCGGAAATGCCTCCAGAAATTGGACAAAGATACCTGGGCTCATCGGCTTCACGAACAACACCCCCGTCTCGCTTACGATTATTTTTCGTATGGACCGGACTTGGCCATTGCTCTGTTACTGAGCTTGGAACCAAAGATACACTCTATTCGTGCTCTGCATCCTCCGAACACCATAAAGAAAGGGAACACATTCAAACTCCCTGTCTACCTCGAACCCATTCGGGGCATTCTGGCAGCAGGTTCTCCACTACCGCAATGGACCAATAATCTATCCACGTTAGAGATCACCCTTCGGACCATATCATGGCCGTGTGTTGCCCCGCTGTTCCGGCTACCGGTACTCGAGACGCTGATCCTGAACGGTGGAAGCGATTTCAACGATGCAGAAGACGATAATATGAACCACATGACTGCTACAGAGCTAGGAGCTTCAATGCAATCATGGCCAATAATAGCTTCGACTCATTCATCCCCGGTCGAGGTGCTTGACTTTGGAAGGTGGGTGGGCTCCTTGACGACCATTGCAAAAGCTGTATCTGTTTGCAAATCACTGCGTGTCCTACGACATAGCGATTGCGACAATTGGGCGGCAGCTCATCATTTGCATTTACTCCAACAGTTACATGAGCATGCGAGCACGCTGTCCATCCTCAAAACGTGCTGCTGGCACGCCCCCAAGAGCGCTTCAACTAAAGATATGGTACCGGCGGGCTTCACTGCTTTAAAGGAGCTCGAGGTGCACTATTCTCATGTCGACGACGACCTCCTACCGCCAAATCTTTGCCAGCTCGTCGTATGCGCAACTACTCGCGACAGGAAATGCATCATGAAAGACATGGAAACACTAGCACAAAAGCTCAGCAAGCGATCAAACCTCGACGCAACACTGAAGTATCGGCACTACCGGAAGTTAGACTACAAGCTTCCAAGATTAAGCGAACTGCCATCCATATTCGCCATGTCAGATCTCAAGCTATCGCTTTACGTGTATCCTGATGTCGGCTCATCGTGTAAGTTGCCCGCAGTAACGTCCCTTTAGAACGAGCTAACAGTCAGAATAGGGTACTTGATCGCCAAGTTCGACCTCCGCGCTGCATGGTCATCGCAGAGACCTAACGAAACAGGCGCAAATGATTTGAGAGCTTGGTCGTGGCGATTAGATTCGATGTACGATTACCGGGGAATTGTGCTCGCGGAGATAAAAAATATGGTCGGAAAGCACGAGAACCTTTGGAAGAGCAAGGACTACGATCTCAATTTCATGCTACCGTATCTGTTTAGAAACCGGTACAAGGTCTGAGGAGAGTGGTCAGTTGACACGAAGATGTGGGCGGAAGGATGGATCTGTCACGAATGGGAAGGTGGATTGGAAGAGTAATGAATGGTAGCTCTTTCTCCAAACCGGACCTCGTTCTTAAAACAACATCAGCGCTATCTCCACGGTCATCGTTCTGGTTACCTCCACCACCTGCTACTCACCAATTATTCCTAACCGCTCGTGAAATTTCTAATACCGACTCACAAAACTCCCATCGCCTTGACCTATCAACATTCTACCCACACTCCCGGATTTTCTACATCTCGACCACAGTACTCTCTCATACCGAAGGCCATGGCATCCAACAACTCCTGTAACGGCGACGACGTCAACCCCCCAGCTTACTGCAGACTTCACGAAAGCGCCCGCATGACCAGCAAAACGAGGAAAGCAATCGAAATATCCCTCCTCGTTCCCGTCTTAGCCATTGTAATGCCACCCCTGATTGTGATCGAAGTGGCACGAATAGTGGTAGGTGAGTAAACTACCATACTATAATTTATATCACGACCTTTTTGCTAACATGGTACCCAGGATCGCTTGTAGAAGTTGGGCAGGAAGTTGGGTGGTCAGTCAAAGACCGGAAATATACGCCAAGGGAGCGAATGGCTCGAAGAACGATGAGGAGAAATATTCGGGAAACGTTGAGATGAAGCTGGTACTTGAGTGAGCAGGAGAGAAGAGGTGAACTGGTTGTGCTCTTGATTCAGCATCCTCCCGTCATGCTGTGTCAGATTAGTCTTCCTCGATACGGCTATACATTTCTTTGACGAAATGAACCCTAAGACAAGAATAGGGATAAGCGTCAATACTTCTTTATGCCTAAGCTGTAATTAAGGCACTTGACTGTGCAACTAAAGTCTCTTCTATAATCATCGCAAGGGCATTGTGCTGTGTAACCCATTCAGCTCACCTTCACCACTAACCACTCACATCTCACTAGCCCCAGCTTCTTTAAAAGCCACCAACAAGCCATAGATCTTATCACCTCAGCGACCTCCCATTTGATAACTCAAAGTTTCGCATCCTACCTACAACAACCCGGAAAACACGAAGATGAACTCTGGTTCTCTACGTCTGGAAGCGCTCTGCCAGCTCCCTCTCGCTCTCGCACAACTCTATGGTGGTAAAACTCAACCCCTCCTTTTGATTGTATGAAGTCAGAGACTAACAGATCGAAGTCCCAATTACTACATCTTTGGTAGCCATCACGGCGATGTGTGAAGAAGTTGTTCAAGCGGCAAAGGCAAACTTCAACCGATACGATGGACAGAAATGGCACCACTGGCCAGGATATCCCGTCGGAACTATCATTTGCAACGTTGGTGGGGAGTGTGTGGAGATCAAAATACGACAGTGAGGAGCTGATCTCACAGCGATTGTGGTATGGTGACCAGTACCCTGGGTCGATTACGACAAGCAAACCTCTGAACGAATCGCCAGACTTGCACACAGGCACAAAGAGGAAGTATATGTACAAAACTTCAATGGGAAAACGATGAGATCGAGTTATATGTATACATGTCATCTACACATCTGGTATACGGCATGTGTGTCCCATCTTCTACACCCCCAACACACCCCTCAACCCCCTAACCTTCCCCCTCAAATCCCCATACCCCAACCAAACAATCCCCTCCGCCATCTTCCACGCCTTCTCCCCCGCGCCCTCCCCTCTCAACGGAATATCCATAGGCGGCGGAATCGCCGTCTTAATCCCCGCCCAAGCCCACCGATCCCTCGTAATACTCTTCTGATTGCACAGACTCCTCAGTCCCTCTTTACCCGCAAAGCGCCCATAGCCACTACCCTTTGTACCGCCAAATGGCATCTGAACCATATAGTAGACTGCAAAGTCGTTGACGGCAACCATGCCGGCTTGTAGGGAGCGGACGACGAGTTCAAGGTCGCGGGTCGAGGTGCCGAAGACGGAGGAGCCGAGGGCGTAGGTGGTGCTGTTGGCGATTGTGATGGCGTCTGTGACGGATTCGGCGCGCATGAGGAGGAAGACGGGGGCGAAGAGTTCGGTTTGTGCGATCTTCATGGTTGGGGTTACGTCGGCGATGAAGGTGGGTGTGAAGTAGTGGCCTTGGGGGTGATCGGGGTGGCTATAGCGTTTTCCACCTGCTAGTAGGCGGGCGCTGTTGTTGACGGCATCTTGGATGAGCTCTTCGAGCTTTGTGTAACTCGCGTCGGATATCGATGCGCCGATGTCGATGGGTGTGTCTGAGGTGTTGTTGAGAATGGAGCCTGGACGGAGCGCCTGGATCTTGGGTGTGAGGTACTCGATGAAGCGGTCGTAGACTTTGGGTAGGGCGATGACGCGTTCGATGCCGATACAGTTCTGGCCTGCAGACTGGAATGTGCCCCTCATGAGGATACTGGCAACGCGCTTGAAGTCGCTGTTGGATAGGTCATCCAGTACTATCGCCGGATCTTTGCCGCCCAATTCCACGCACACTGGTGTCAATGCCTTCGCCGCCGATGCGCAGACATGGTGGGCTACCGGTCGTGATCCAATAAAGGTTATGTGTGATATCGACGGGTGCGAAGTAAGGTGATCGGCGACGTCAGGCCAGCAGACGACAGACTGGACGATATCCGGCGAGTGACCGCATGCTTCGAGGGCGCGAGTAGCAATCGAAGCAAAGTATGACGAGGACCAGGCAGTTGCTTCAGAGCCTTTGACGATGATGGCGTTGCCGGCGAAGATGGAGGCTATGACGGGGCTTATGAGATTGTGGAAGGGGTAGCTAGAAGACTGTTAGCCGCCATGATGAGATTCAGTGACCTTGTGCACTTACTTCCAGCTCACGCAAGCCGCAACGACGCCCAGCGGCTCATAAACAACCTCATTCCACTTGTACATCATGAGGAAGTTTGTGTCCCTCTTCTCAGCCTTGAGACTCTTTTCGCCGTGCTTGATGGTCCACCTCAGCTTCTCTACTGTCACCAGGATCTCGCCCAGACTCGCGTCTACCATGGTCTTGCCAGAGTCCAGACATGCGACTCGCGCTATCTCTTCTTGGTTCTCCAGGATGAACTTGAGCATGGTGCGCAGCACCTTTCGTCGCCTGAGGAAGCTTGTCTGAGCCCATTGTACCTGGGCTGCCTTGGCTTTGGCGATTGCGCGGTCAATACCGTCGGCCGTGGAGGGGTTGATGCGCCCGAGGGCTTCACCAGTCGCGGGAGCGTAGCATTGGATCAAGGAAGAGCCCGGGACCTGCTGAAGTCAGCTACCGAGATCGAAACATAGGGAGTATATGTGTACCTTTAATTGCGGCTTCTCAAGCACCTGGCCCTTCCATCCTTTGCGTGCCTGCTCAGGTGTGTCGACTTCATACTTGACAGGCTCCTCTGGATCAGCACGACAAGTAATCCAGATGAAAGAGAGTGCGGCTATCCAGAGTGCGCCATACAAGGCGACATTGAAGTCGTTGTCAGCGCGTGCGGTAATACGGTCCATGTTGCCGATGACGGTCTGACCAGATGTCGCGTGGTCCAAGAAAGTCCGATCCTGGCCGCCTGGACCCTGAAACGCCATCCCAACGCGGATGCGCTAAGACGCGTAGTCATCTGAAACTACTGCAGGCGTCAAGGGCATACTTCACCGAACGAATCACTTTTCCACCCCATTTTCAATTCCCATACTCACGCTCGGTCAGACAATCCCGAACGAATTGCGTAGAGTTTCTTACTTACGCTGTTGGGCAATTTGAAAGAAGTGTTGATTGCAGTGGAAGACGTCCCGTAGCCACTCAGCGCAGTCCTCTGTGAACGGTCGTCTATAAGCTTCTGTGGTAGCTGCATGAGTCGCGTTCTTGACTTCATCAGTCTTCAATAGCTTGTCACAACTTCTGCAATAGTAAGCAATTCATGCCAACGTACAACATGATCGGCAAGAAGAGTAGGTGTTTCACTGATGGTATTGTTCGTCATAAGATTTGATCTCATATATCATACATCCCTCATAGCCACGATTCCCTGTCCGTGGGCCTTGGTGCTATTCTGATCCCTCAACAACTTAACCCTTCGAACCCGCACTTACTTTGCGTTGTTCTTGGGCGCCTCGGTGGGTGGACCGTCCGGCGTGGTGTAACACCTGGTCATGCCACCATCGATGACGAAATCAGTGCCGTTGACGAAGCTGCTCTCATCGCTGGCAAGGAATAGGACACCCTGTGCCTGCTCGATAGCCTCACCGAAGCGACCAGTGGGGAAGTGGACTTCGCGACGGTGACGCTTAGCCTGGTCGTCACCGAGCCAATCTTGCAGGAGCGGTGTGCTGTTGCTGTTAGTATATCATAAGTAGTATACTGGTTGGGAGTAAACCTACTTCAACGGTGCTGGGCATAGCGCGTTGAACCTGAAGCCCTCACGTGCGTGAACCATAGCCAACTCGCGTGTCATGGCCAGTACGGCACCCTTGCTGGCGGTGTATGCGAGCTGAGGTGTTGCGCTACCGACCAATGCGACAACACTAGCGGTGTTGATGACACTGGTCTTCTTCTTGCCGTTCTTCCTGAAGCTGTTGACTGCGTGCTTGCAGCCGAACCATACACCCTTGACGTTGATGGCTTGTGTCAGGTCCCAGATCTTCTCGGGTGTGTTGACAGCGTCATCGTCGTCTGAGTGCATAATGCCTGCGTTGTTGAACAGTACATCCAGCCCACCCCATGAGTCCACGTGCTCAACCATAGCCTGCACATCGGCCTCCTTGGAAACATCGGTAATCTTAGTCTCGACCTTCTTAGCCTCTGGGACTATCTCTTTCAGCTTGGCCGAAGCCTTCTCCAGAGCTGGACCGGAAATGTCGGAAAGAAGTACATTTGCGCCTTCCCGAGCAAAGAGAATGGCAGTCTCGAGACCGATACCGCTAGTGATTGTCAGTAGGTAGTTGCGGTATGCGGCATGATCCTGTATGTGCTGTTCCCCGCGCTGGAAAATGTACAAATCGGCGTTGAAGCCAGTAATGAAACATGGTCAAAAGGGTGGATGACTGCAAAAGAAATGCTGGTAGGAAATGTGTCGTGGTACGTGCGGGATCGGTGCTTACCCAGCGCCTCCGGTGATGATGCAGTTCTTGCCTTCAAGACGACCCATGTTGAATGTTTGGTCTGATTATTGTGCTGATAGAAGTGTAGTGAAGGTGCTGTATTGCGGTCAATGGATGTGAAGGGTGAGGCAAAGTTTTGTGGACGCTGTGAGATATGACTAATATTTTGCTAGAGGAAGCGTCATGAGAACAACACGCGGACCTGTGAATGGGGAAGGTTTGCCAAAGGCGCAAACAGTTCCAGTCTCCACACTCACCTATGAATCGGACTTTGCAGTGCGGGCTGGCGTATGAGGAGCGTTGTCGGAATCGAGAGTGCGAGGAGATGGAGATGACGAACGGGTAGTCTCGGACAGCGCGCAAGTCATTCAAACATCAAGGGTCCCGAAATCGGCCCATTGCATTGATAGACTACGATAAGGGCGGGCTATCGCGTTGGCGGCTGTCATCTTTGGGCACACGACGAAGGAGCGGTGGGCGAAGGCACGATAGCAGCCTCGAATTAACATCTGTCCTACACGGCATGGATGCGCCAAACGCTGTTACACGTCAGGGCTGATGAAGTATGGCCACTACCCCGCCATGATGGATGACGTGCGTGCTTGCCCGTCTCTTGTATGCCGGCGCATCATCACGTTGTCGCATAGGGATTCATGTTGTCGCATTGGGAGGGTGTCGAGGTGTCGCGTAGGAGAGATAGCACACACACGCGTGACTATGCAAGATATAGCCTGTACGCGCATGCAAGGCCAGGCTATGATGTCGTTGGATGCATCGCAGCCCGCATCCCGATAACCCCTCATTGGCCCACCCCAGCTGTCCCGCCTATCGCATCCTAAACGCCCTGGGCCCTTAAGCTCTCTATCCGCGCAAACCTGATTGCGACGCGATATCTCTTACCAACGACACGACGCTCCTTTCACTCGTACGCTTCAACAGCTACATCTGTCCAGCCCCCTCCATCCTCACCATGGCCGCCGAATTCGATGCCTCCAAGCTGACGGCCGAGCAACTGCCCGAACTCCTCAAAAATGACCTCGCAGTCAAGGTCGCGGGCATCGATGTCGACGGCGTCTTGCGCGGAAAGCTCATGGCCAAGAAAAAGTTCCTCAGCATAGCCAACGAGGGCTTCGGATTCTGCAGCGTCATCTTCGGATGGGACATGCACGACCAGACATACTTCAAGGAGCTGGCCATCTCCAACAAGGAGAACGGATACCGCGACTTGCTCGCCATTCCCGACCTGACGTCCTTCAGGAGGATACCATGGGAGGACAACGTGCCTTTCTTCCTCATCAGTTTCCACGACCCGGACACCAAGGGCACCCTCAGCGCATGCCCAAGGAGTCTGTTGAAGCGCGCCGTGGACAAGCTGAAGGAGAACGGTTATGGCGCTATGGCTGGTGGTGAGTTCAACGCCAGTTGAAGAGCGGGTGCTGCGCGTCGTCAATGAAGCTGATGTGTTACTGTGTAGCCGAGTACGAGTTCTACCAATTCCGCGCGCCCCAGAGCCACGATGGCTCAGAGAGGAACACGTCGAGCACCGCCGCCTTCTTGCGCGACAACCCTGTCAACTCGCTCCCAAGTCTTACCGAAGGCATGTTCGGATACAGCATCACGCGGCCTGTTCACAACCAGGAGTACTACTACGGCATCTTCAACACATGCGCCCAGTTTGGTTGTGGGATTGAGGGATGGCATACTGAGTCCGGCCCGGGCGTCTTTGAAGCGGTGGGTATATCAACTCGTGGGTACGGGCAAAGCAGACTGACATAGCATAGGCTCTCGAATTTGGCGAGATCCAGCAAATGGCGGACAAAGCGTCCCTCTTCAAACTCGTCGTCAAATCTCTCGGGTCGAAGTACGGCATAACACCATGCTTCATGGCAAAGCCGCGCGAAGGCCTCCCAGGAAACAGCGGTCACATGCACGTTTCCATCGTGGACAAAGAAAACAAGAACCTCTTCTACCGAGGTGAAGAGGACAAGAATGCGCCATACTCAGACATCGCGTACCTTTCGGACCTTGGTCGGCATTTCCTCGCTGGTTTGATCGACGGTCTCCCCGACATCATGCCTATTCTCGCACCCAATGTCAACAGCTACAAACGGCTGGTAGAGAACTTCTGGGCACCCGTCACCGTATCATGGGGTCTCGAACATCGCGCAGCATCCATCCGCCTCATTTCTCCTCCTACCTCTTCTGGTAAGGCAACACGCTTCGAAGTGCGCGTGCCAGGCGCAGATACAAACCCGCACTTCGTTCTCGCTGCCATTCTAGCTCTCGGCTGGCGAGGTATTGAGAAGAAGATGGAGATCAGCATACCGCCTCTAGGCAAGGGCGAAGATGTTGGCGGAGAGGCGGATAAGGGCGAGCGCCTCGCCAAGAGCCTGAAGGAGGCCACAGAGCGGTTCATGAGGAAAGAAAGTGTCGCGAGAGAGGTATTCGGCGATCAATTTGTGAACCACTTTGGCGGCACCAGGCAACATGAGATTAGGCTATGGGATGAAGCCGTGACTGACTGGGAAGTCAGAAGGTATATCGAGACGGTATAAGTTCTCGATTATAAGATAGGTAAGATTGAGGAAAGAGCTGGAACATTTCACAACGTAACCTACTGTTGATTCTACGATACCACATTCCTATCCGCGATACGCGTCGTTCTGCCTCAATATACCTTTTCCAAGAGTCAAATACCAGTTCCAAGGCTCGTATGCGAGTAGCCTCGGAAGTATTAACGCCCAGAGGAATATATCCGGGAGAATTTCCCGGTGCGTCATTAGCGGCAACAAGAAGTGACACTACACATGCGACTACCTGATCCTACCAAGCACTCCAAGCTTCACTAGAACACACGAGGCTACCTGTCGGCGAGCACTGCACCGAATACTTGAAGTCTGGGGTAGATCGCCGTTCACGATGCGGAGATATTTGATTGCGGGTGCAATTATCCGGCTAAGGCGTGCAAGAATCTTGGAAGGTATATAAGTCGACGATGTGATGAAGATAACGAAGCTCTTGAATGCGTTTGAACCGTCTGTAGTTCAAGATGAAGGCAATCAGCTTCGTTGTAGCATGCCTCGCCGCGCATGCAAGTGCTGCAGTACCAAAACGTAGTAACACAGTACTTTCTTCTAGTACGTCAATGATGCTTTCGTACTCCACACACACATGTCTTCTAACCGTCTCAATAAGATGCCCAAGATCTTTTCGACTGGTCTATGCACATTCAAGACAACCGCTATGACGCCTCTTACAACTTCATCCAGTACTCCGACAAGGGAGCATGGTCTGTTCGCTTCACAGCGTGGTATGTAGCCGGATTATTGCACAGAAACCAGGGAGACGATGTGAAGCATGCAGAAGCCTCTATCAGGAATATGTAGGTATCATTCGAACATAGGAGAGTCGAACAAAAAGAAGCGGGAGACTGACGATGAAAACAGACTGGCCTGCCAAATGACAGATGATTTCGACGCTCCATGGTACGGAACATACAAATTGTCCCCCGATGAACCAGATCCAACGCCTGATTCGGGACTATACGCACCAAAGATATACGTACGTCCCCAAACATCTACCTTCACTCCCTCCAAGCTCCATACTAACATAAAACTCCCCAAAAAGACAACCTACGACCCCAACTGGCGCGACTTCATCGGCACCCAGCTAATCCAAATCCTGTCCGAATTCTCATCCCTCCTCCCACCCTCGCTCATAACCTCCATCGAAGACTCGCTCGAAATCGCCGCCGTGGGCAGTATGCGCCGCAACGGCACCTACCCCACCATCGACGATAACCTAACAATTGGTTACACAAACCCAGCTATGATGCGCGCTCTCCTGTGCGAATACATCGGCACCCGTCGATCCAACTCAACTTTCACGTCTTTCGCGGAAGACCAAGGAAAAAAGATATTACAATTATTCCAACGAGAAGGCGCGGAGACGGTTAGCGAGTACAACGCGCCTACGTACTACGGGATCGATGTCTGGGCCATGGGTGCACAGATCAAATACGGTGTTGGTAATTCAAGTATGACGAAAGCTGCGAAGTATATCCTGCCGAGGATGATGGGTGATTTGGCGGATCACTATAATGGGTACTTGGGAAATGTGGTAGGGCCGTATGATAGGGCGTATACGAGGGATATCACGCAGCATTCTTCTGTCTTGTCCTTGGTACTGTGGGGTCTTTGGGGCAGGGAACGGACGAGCCAACCGAAGAAGATGGAGGGGGATTTACTGTTTGATGTCGCTCAAGGGGCGACTATGGCGCTTATCCTAGGGGATGTGGAGGAGCTTTTGCCAGCGGGTGTGGAAGAGGCGTTTACGACGAGGGACTTCATTGGTGAGCCGAGGTGGCTGAATCGAACGGTTTGGGATGAGCTGGAAGGAGGTGAACCGAGGATCGCGTCCAGTTGGGTGAGCAAAGAGTTGATGATTGGCGGGCAACAGGTGAATGAGGATGTGAACAGAGGGGACCAGTTTGTTCCTGCTACTGTTCATTGGGCAGGTGATAAGGAGCATAAGCCTTATCCGCTTAACACCTTCTTCGCCCTTTACCCGTCTGCGTCCTCGATCCACGCTGTCGCCTCGCCAAACCATCTCTCTGTTAGCTATCCCAACCGGACGCAGGAGGGAAGCGATATCTTCACGTTTGCGCTGTCGAATGTGCCCCCGAGTTGGACGCTGGGAACCGGAAGACGCATAACGGGGTTCGAGGATTTGCCGTGTGTGGACATTGAGGTCGATGCTGAGGGTTTGGTGAAGCAGAATGTGACGTACGGTACGGCGCTGAGGAATCACCTGTTCTACAACATCTCGTATGTGGTTCCGGAGGATTTCGAGGGTGTGCCGAAGGTGGAGTTGGATATCAAGTATACGTGCTAGCTAGCTGGCGACGTATAATATATCATGGCTACCTGTTCGAAGGGCCCGTATCTCTGGCATTGAAGCTGTCGTGGCCTGCTAGCAAGTGACCCTTTTCGTCGTTGGAGATTCGCTCTTGAATGCTTGTCGCGATGTCGTGGGTTTTTGGCTTGGGCATCAGACCTCTTCCATCGCATCCTTATCATGCTGCCCAAAGAGCTCTTCGACCAACCCCACGAACTCGGCCATGGCATCTTTCTCTCCCTCTTTCCCTTCTCCTTCTCTTATACCCTTCAACTCCTCCATCGCGTCCTTGTCTCCCTTCTTCTGGGTCCAGTACTCCTCCTTCTTCTCCTGCCCTCCATTAAAACCTCCACGTCCACCTCTCCAGGCTCCTCGGCCCCTTCCCCTCATGCCTCTTCCTCGTGAGGCGTTCCGTTCAAGCATGCGCCGCCGGCTCTCAGCTTCGGGGTCTGGCTTTATCGTCTTGGCGTATACGCGTTGGAGTGACGGGAGTAGTGTTGGGTGTGTTTTGAGTAGCGCTTGGAATTTCGGATTCGTTGCTAATACGGAGAAGTCGGTGCGCTGCTTTAGGTAGCGCGGTACTGGGGCGGGAGGAGGTGGTTGTGGGAGAGCTGGCTCTGCTGGCTTTGGGGCGACTGACGTGGTGTCGGGATGTGTTGTTTTGTGCGATTTGAAGCATGATAACGAGCAGCTGTACGCGATCAGTATTGTAGATCTAGGAGATCACAAATGGCAACGAACTATGGAAGCGCGCAAGTCGGGCACTTGTATTTCTTGGGCTCTGCGTTGCAGACGCCGCAGAGGACTTCTGACATTGTGCTGTTTGTTGGCAGGGATCGCGACTTCAAATTTAGGAAAGAAACGACGAATGTGTGTCATGAGAATGGTTGTGCTGGGAGTGTCGAAGATGACGTCCGCAAACACTCGCGACTTTTCCAAGGTTGCGCTAAGACGCGTTCCCAATCGGGCTAAATCCCGCGGCGAACTTCCATTGCTCATCACTCCGCCGAGGTTTCCTCCATTGGCTCGTTGACTCTTACAACACAACAATACAATATGTCTGCCGCATCGCCATTACGACAACTTCCCTCACGGTCGCTGGGATCCTGGACCTGCCTATCATGCTCTCGCTCGCTCAATAGGATACCGCGCGCCCGCAATCCCGCCTTGACCGCACGAAGATGGATGAACAGCACAAATCCCGCGCGGCAGCATGGCACCGTGCCAAGAATGGACCAGATGCATGCGCAATATAAGATGAAGAATCGCACAGTCATGTATGTGCAAGATCCTGTTGGCAGAAAGGGCAATTGCTGACCATAGTATAGGAACTATGTCTTCAGTGTGATAATAGGCTTCACAGCGCTTAGTTATGGCTCAGTACCGTTTTACAAGATGGTATGGTCATAGATCATCACTTTGTCGACAAGAACCCAATCTCACGAATTCTATAGATCTGCCAGGAAACTGGTTGGGGAGGCCAGCCCATAAAGTCAGCGGCCCACGGCGGCGATACTTCCGTCGATCCCTCCGAGCGCCTAAAGCCCGTCGAACACCACCCACGTATCCGAATCACATTCAACGGCTCCGTATCCGACGTCCTACCCTGGAAGTTCGTTCCTCAACAACGCGAAGTCCGAGTCCTCCCCGGCGAGACCGCCCTCGCTTTCTACACCGCGACCAACAAATCGTCAGAAGATATCATTGGCGTAGCTACATATTCTGTCACACCAGGTCAGGTCGCCCCATACTTCAGCAAGATCCAATGTTTTTGCTTCGAAGAGCAGAGACTAAATGCTGGGGAAACGGTGGACATGCCCGTCTTCTTCTACATCGATCCTGAATTTACAAAGGATATTAACATGAAGGGTATTGAGACCGTTACACTGAGCTACACGTTCTTCAAGGCGAAGTACGACAAAGACGGACATTTGACGCCTGTTCCTATGTGAGGAGGGATCGGGGTATGTACGATATGTGTACACAATACGTGCGGGAAGAGGATCCACAATGTAAGGCTGATGTAGGAATGCTATTCACCGAGCACCACAACCCTTTACCTAAGTCATTTTCAAGCCAATTTGGGTTCGATTACAATGACAACTTGTGCCGTTCACTACACTACCGTTGTGAAGTAGCATCGATCTATACAGTGCGCCACCAACTTCATAAGTATCTGGCCAATTTGGACGGTCAATCAATTTTACACAGAGCAGGCCTCTCCACCCTCAACTTCAGACTGCACAGTAAACCCTTCTCTAGGAGCTACTCGCTTACACATCCCTCATGGATAGACATGCAGAAGAGAAAGAGCTTCGGGAGAGCTATTACATCCACTGCCGCAACAGGGGCTACACCATCGACGAAGCCTCTGAGCGCAGCCTCAAATACGTCCAGCGTGTTCTCAACGCAGATTCAATCATCTCGAAAAGATACCTAGAAGAGCTATATCAAGCGAGTAGAGCGCACCATAGGTACTCATCGTCTCCACTCTCGTATGATGACGACCCGCCGATGCATAGCTCACGGAGAGCCAGAGATGGCGGTGGATACGATGCTTTTAGTGGGTTCTCCGGTATGATGTGGAGTCTTCTTGACGACAATGACAGCATATTTGCAGAGATGCGAACGCAAGCTGAAGAAGATTGGAGCATACCAAGTGTACCTGAATATCGCGCTCCTCAGTACATCCCCTCTCATTACAACTACCAGAATTACGACCGGGAGCCACAATGGCAACACGCGGAGGATCGGAGTACGCCGAGCTATCGCCGTCCGGATTACATCCCTTCTGCCTACGACTATCAGAACCATGCTCAGCAATCGCGAGAAACCTCTGATAGATATACTGCTAGAGGTTCTGGCCCGCAGCGTTCATCCTCTTATGACCCTCGTAACCATGCATACAGCTGGTCTTCCTCCAGTAATAGAGACCGCAGGCCACATTCAGGCTATCGGCGTTGGACTGCAGAGTCGAGTCACCCCTCGTACTCTTCATCACCACCCAGCTATACATTCTACTCATCGTCTGATTCGTACCCGACCAATACTTCTTATTCTTTCCGCCCCGGCGCTCCACCTAGGACCTCTTATGTACCACCATCGTCATCTGAACGCCCAGTCACGCCGCCTCCGCAAGGTATCAAACCCGCCACAGATTTGTACACCGTGCTTGGTGTTGGTCGAACTGCCACAGCCGCTGATGTCAAGAAAGCGCACCGTGCTATGAGTTTGAAGTGGCATCCTGATCGCTGTCGGGGACCCGATAAGAAGAAAGCTACTGAGAAGATGGCGGAGATTAACCAAGCGAACGATGTATTGCGTGATGAGGTCAAGAGGACGTTTTATGATAGATGGGGGGTGTTGCCTAGTGAGGTGTAGAAGAAGCAAGGCAGACTTTCACAAAGATAAATTCCCCGATTGAGAAAGGCCATTGATTGTACGTGCTGGAAAGCCCTCAAGTGTGAAGCTCGAGCCATTCGAGAGCCATGATCTCACAATGAAAAGCATTTAGCCCTACTCTTACTCAAGGTACGATTCGACGCCAGGTTCAGGTCTGCCGTCCGATTTACGAAGACAGAGTAATAACTTCATTGCATCAGCCAAAGCCTCCCGCGGATATCCGTCGATAAACTGCATCCAGCCATATCCGTCTTTTGAGTCATCGTAGGCTGAGTACGCAAATCTGTCAGCAATTATGCGCCGAACAGGAGATCCTGAAGGTGTGCCTTCGTAGACGATGCTGACACTCTCTGGTCCCATACTCCAGCGCGAACTCCTTTGGGCGTCGAATATGGCCTTCACTACTGCATTCTTGTACTCGGTGTCGATGATCTTCTCCCCGAAGATGTATGCTTCGGCGAGTAGACAGAACACTTTCTCCGCTTCTTCGGCCTTTTTTTCAAGCTTGTCGTTTCCAGTTTCGTAAAGTTTGATTGCTATCTTGTCGTAGTATAGCCACTTGATGTAGTCGATGACCGTGTTCGCGGAATCCTCCGGAAGAGTGACGACGTTCTCTTCTTGAGTCGTCCACTCCGGCTTTATCGCGTTCTGAAGAAAGCCCGAGCTCTTGCAGAGAACACCACGGTGAACGTTGAGACGTACGGTCTCCCCAGCACAGCTCGGGACTACCAACTGAATGATTGTGTCGGTTGGACTACGTCCGTCAGTGAATGTGAGTATATCCATAGACTGTGGGCTCTATTTACTCCATTTTGGCCGGTGGATGGAGTCGTCAAATTGGGTGCGCGGCTGCGCGTTCTTCGAAATGGGAAGAGTTGCTTCTACGGGGAAGCGCGTTGAGCGTAAATCAAGTTGCTTATGCGTAGGGAAGGTGTTATGTGGCGCAATGGCTGAGCGCGCGGCTAGTGATTGGCTATTTCATCGCACAACAGTGAGTGCTTGCTGAATCGCCTTTGAGAATGCGCGTAACTCTGAGCAGTATGTACAACACCTTTATCACTGACGCTGCAGCCTTGTCCGTTGCGGTCACCCACAGAAAAAAGCTCAGTCTCTGACGCATACGATGTCTCGAAATCCTAGGGTAATTGTGCGTAGGGTATGCGTATGCAAAGTGGAACTTGTGAGTGGCTCGTCGCTCTGCCTTATCGCAGAACCAGTGGATGGAGTGGACAGCAACCAACGGTAATAAGCCCCACATCGTGGACAAATTGATGAGGCTATCCAACTGCGTCTAGATGTGATTCACACAGAAGTTCGCCCAAAGTTTCCTCGATTCTACGAAAAGTATTTGAATGTTGGTATCGCCGTTCGACTTCCAGCTCGGCGCCACTACCCATGCAGCCTACGCCCGTACCCACAACCTACGCATGGCAGCTGCTTGCACCCCAAATCTACCCGTCCACATTCTGCACATCAGTCACACCACCACTCCCCTGGCATCCCTATACATACCGCGCGCGGCGGCAACCCTGCACGATGCTGTCGCCACATGAATAATCTGCTCCACCGCCACAGGAAGCTCGATGCGATGATTATTGGGTGTCTTGGTATACATCATAGGTATTTGATGATTAGTTGTAGAGTGCTAAGGAAACGCGTGGGACGTGCTGAGAATGCCCGAGGCATGAGACGGATCGAGTCGGGCTCGTAGCCGAGAGTGGCAATCTTAGAAACAATCAACGCAACACAGCGATCGAAGATATCTAGTACACAAAATTGAGATGCATTGGTATCCACTTTGTCTCTTCTATCCCAAGTTCGCCTGGTGAGTGCATATGTTCGTCATCGACAAGTCGTGCCGTGTGGTGGGCCTTGGGCGTCGCCGCCAAGGCACTGCCTGTAAACAAATTCTCCCGATTGCCCTCTTCCTACATGTGTTCTCATCACTACAAGCGTATTTACCTTGAATGCGACAGCAATGGGGCATCGAGTGCCTAAGTTTGGCCGCACTGAGAGTGAGTGCTCAAAGATCCGCGCTTAATGAACAATAACTAAGTAACCGCTGGCCCGGCGAGGTAATCTGTCAACTCCCCGGTATCGCTACAGATAGCCCCTTGTCCACACAGGCAAAGCGGAAGAGACCACGACAGGTCGAAAGTCGTATAAATGTCCTCAACTACACCACTTTCAGAAGTGGAATACAACAAGGACCCGAGCTGCGCTGTCTGCGGCCGATCAAAAGACCATCGCATGGGCATGTCGCACATTACTCGCAAAGCTGACATGACAGTGAGCTGATCTTTTGAGATTATGCGAACAGGTCGGTCTGACCTGTTCTAGCAGCACTCAAGATAGCTAGCACGTGTGACTAGGCCGAGTACAAGCCAACGATATATCACCCTCTGGCTCGGATACCTATAGGTAATAGACCGCCAACTATTCGAAGACCGTCTCAAGATCTCTGCAGACAACTGGATGCCATCAAAAACCACGAAGCGCGGTCGGAAATATGAGCAGCTCATTAGACTACATGTATTAATGTGCTACGACAGCAAAAGAACAAAGGCTCTATGATCACAGCTCACGAAGATAGATGCCTCTGAAACAATTCCACAGAGGCGCGGGAGAAGACTTTACTAGTTCCATCATTGGTCTCCCAATACACCCAGTCGTTTGCGTCCCTCTTGTCTCTTCCCTAGTAGGTCAAGCAGGAGCCCATCTAGGTCGACGTGGATATCCGGCTCCAGACGTATACTGTATATGTTGTGTTGCATCTAGGGAGAAGTCAGTGCGTAACCGAGAGACCGTAATACTGTCCGACCTCGACCCGGAATTTCTTCTCTCCGACGTTTTCTTCCATCATCTCCACGAGTTTGCTGGGGTTTGTAACCCATTTCGCTGGTACGTATCGTGTAGCCTGCGGGATTGGCACGTGAAGTCCGTTAGAGCCAGTGGAAATCGCTTGCGACATTTGTGCCTCGTAAAGGACGGAGGTTTTAAACGTTTTTCAGTGTTCGGTGATGGTCCTGTTCGCTGAGATGCGTGCGGATTTATCGAAATCTGAATAGCTTGTACAAGTGCAGCTGAGTTGTGAACTTCCGGCGAGGTCCGTCGGGGAGTGATCATTCGGAGCGGCGATGGCTGACACAGGAAAGTCGCCTGAACGGTCGACCTTCGAGATTCAGCCTCGGGACGCGTATAGTTACAACGCCCTCTTTGCAGATCCATGCAGCCACCAACTGCATGGGTTTTCGCTGCTTAATCGCTGGAACTGCTAATGACCTGATAATGTCAACCACAGGACGTCCGCCCCCTGGATCTGGCCTTTTGAACCTTGCGCAAACACAGCTTACGAAGCTGCCTTAGGAAATAATGTTGAGAACGTGCATCGCCCTGGTCGATGCACTGCGCATACATCTCAGCCCGCATGAAGGACCTGCCGCTAAGGAAAGGCAAAAGTCCTTCATTCGATCGTAGCCAATCAGCCGTCGCATTCACGAATTTGCCTTCTCTGCCGTCCTGCAGTAACAGGCTTGAGGCTGCATCAAAGTCCAAGAGGGTTAAAGCCATGTAGGTGGGGCCAAATTCGAAAAGCTTACGAGATCTGAGGCTCTGCGCACTGATGAGGCAAATGGCTGGCTCATACGTCGCCCTGTGGCCCGCTAATCTTGAACCAACAGTTCTGCCTAACTCCTTAGCCAGTGGCTCGATATCAGTTTCCTTGAGCGGTTTCACATGCAGCCCTATAATACCTCCTTAGCAAGGCCGACTACTCGTATGAGTCCGATGACTCGGGGGCCGGCGGCTGGCCAGCATGATGCAATCATCGACGCAAGTGGGCACCATAACCTTGACGATGTTGTAAGTTGTGGCTTGTACATATCCACAATTGGCAAACCTGACTTGACAGGCTTCTTCTCGCATAGATCAGTCGCCTCGCACCAGGTTTCACATCTCTCAGGCGAACAAAACATCTATGGAATCTGAGGAGACTCGCGACCGAAAGCCACGACCCGAAGTTCCACAATTGTCTGCTCCACTCAGTAGTACCATTGAGGATACTGGTGACTCATTGCATCTCGTCGACCATGTCACGAAACGCTCAAAACACGCGCATGTCAGCGAAGGCCATGGTTACACACCAGAACCATTGAACACATTCATTCGAGAGGCCATGGAGACCTGCGAAGGAGACTCACAATTCCTCCCACTCAACTGTTTGGACGAGGTCGTGACTATCCCTAACATTTGTCGGGAGCTCGAGTTATCAAGTCCGAATTTCGACTTGCATTCGACTGCACTCCAGGTGTGGAATTGCAAAACCTTGAGTAATGGTGAAATCACCACCCGGAGAAAGCTTTTCGTCATTCTATGTTTGATGGAAAGGGCGCAGGAAATCCAAGAATTCATCGAAGAGGGAATTTATGATGCTGACCTGCCGTTCGATTTCGAGCAATTCGAAGGTATTTGTCGATCTAAACGACCGATTAAACTCTTTACGAGTAAGAGCTGGAGACCGCAAGACATAGATTGCTTCAAGATATACCAAGGTCAAGTTACATCACCGTACTTCAAGCTCAGCAACAGTACCAAACCGGGGTTCCTAGAGTACAAGCTGCATCCATGCGTCAAGCTGCCGTTCGTCGACAATGAGATCAAGCCTAGCACTGCTGAGAATCCAGAGCTTCAGTCAGCGATACGCCGAGAAGGAGGTTACTCCTTTGTACGTAAAGTCGTTATACACTCGGCACATTACGACCACATCCGAGTCTCGGTGAGTCAACCATTAGAATTTGATACATCAAAGGCTGATATTGTCAAGACGGATCATTGTACCTCAGAGAAGATGTGTTTCGCGGTCAAGGAGCTACGGAAACGCGACAATGCAACGAACGACCAGAGTCACGAACTGGATCGCGAGACTACGGCCTACAAGTACCTCAACGGCAGACGGCATCCTCACATAATCCAGCTTCTAGCCACCTTTACACAACGAGGTCATCTCAGCATGATCTTCCCATGGGCTGACGGTAATCTGTTGGAGTTCTGGCAGACTCACTACCCTGAGGTATCCGGTCTTCCACGGAATGCGGATCTGGCGGAATGGATGACCGGACAACTCCTGGGCCTCGCAAAAGCTATACGTTGTATCCACCACTCCGAGGTCGAAGAAATCGCCAGTTACGACGCTCCGGACCGGTCGAAGACGCACGGAAGGCATGGAGACATCAAACCAGAAAACATGCTTTGGTTCAAGTGTAGCTGTGGCGGGTCTCATTCACATCGGCAAGGCAAAATCGTAATATCGGACCTTGGATCTACCGAATTTCACGCTACACGTTCAAAAACGATACCAGCAGAAGCAGCAGGCGGCTTTACACACACCTACAGGGCGCCGGAGTTCGACAAGACAAAGCGAGTAGCCCCTAAAGCCGATATCTGGTCGTTCGGTTGCGTGGTGTTGCAATTCCTTGTCTGGTATGTCCGTGGCTGGGATGGGGTGAGTAGTTTCGCGCAAGCTCGATCAGACGACTCGAACCTGAACTTCCACGCGGATCATTTCTTCAATCTCGTTCTCAAAGACGATGATCATAGCGATGATATAGTGGTAGTGAAAGCCTCGGTCATACAAGTGAGCATATCATATCCCTATGCCAAGTCAGTTCACTGACGCTGTACTAGCAATGCCAAATGCTACGAGAAGCTTCTTCAACGCCAGATTTTATCGTTGATCTCGTCGATTTTGTGCAAGCACGACTTCTGGAGCCAGACTCGGCGAAACGGGCGACCTGCGATGAAATTGTGGGAACATTTGACGTGGTCAAAAAGACATGCAATCGCAACCCAGAATATTGTCTCCCTTGGGCACGGTTCGAAATCCATAGGGCCCCTACCGACATGTCTCACAAGACCTCGATCTCACTGTCTTCAGAGATGAGGAAGGATTACCAGATGAATATGAAACTTACACCGCGGACACCACCTCCAATGCCTAGCGATTCGAGGCGTGAGAGATTCACACGCTCCGCACTCTCACACGTCCGCACGAACCTATTGTCACCACCGACTGAGTCCCAAATACTGCAACACCGTCACTCTACTGGGCAAGACTTCATGCCATCGGTATCGATGGATAAGTACCCTTCACTGGTCACAGACGATGGAAGGTTAGAGAATGCAACGAGCCCGGAAAGTGAAGGCTCAACGAGGTTTCATCAAAAATGGCGCAGTCGGCTAAGAGCCCTCAAGCAAAGGTATCTTCGAGTGAACAACAAGTCTTAGTGGTACATTTCTACCAGGTCAAATCGGGTGCATGTCATGGGGTATCGGGTCGGCTTTTCCCTTGACGAGACACGAGCTTAGGAGAAGATGATACGATAATTTGCGGGCTTAACCAAGTTCACGTACGGTTCCGCATGCAAAAATCGATTGATGTCATTGTAGCCCCTTGGGCGATGTTTTGAACCACTGCGAGGGCTGCTTACGCGACTAAGACAAATTCGAGATGTATGGTATGCATGGGAGGTTGCTCTCTCCATTTACATCATACCGCAGCATGGCCGAAATAATGATGTCCAGTATTGTAGCGATCGGTTTGCAGCTTCCGTGATGTAGAGCTTCACGACCCCGTTCCCGTCGCCCGTAAGCTTTTCTGGGTCCATTTCTCTAGTAATAGTACGTCGGTAAATCACGACAAAGTACCACATGCCCATAGTACCTGCTGTGAAGAAGGCGGTAACCAGAATATAGATCCACAAGTAGCTTGAAACATGGCCATCGCCACTAGCACCAGACCAGTCAAAGAACGTCATGGAAAAGACAGTCTACGTGGCGTCAGCAGCGGCGTAGTCATCCCGGATCGAAGCAGCTTACCGCAAAGAAGGTGCCAGGTAGAAAAATCATCGTGACGAGTGAGATGGACTTCATGACCCTTGACTCTCGATTAGTGGCCATTGCCATTTCTACCGCCGTCTCGCTATGGGACTTATCGTGTCAGCCTTGGATCCAAGTTTGAGTGTTTACAGTACGAACCCATTGTGTTGCCATCGCCATACCATCAATTCGCATGGTGCAGTCTCTGATCTTTTCTTCATACTCATCATGTATAATTGCTAGCCTCCTTTCAATCTTCCCCGCCGCATCTGCTACGTTGTTTTGGATCCACAGATCCTTCGGACCAGTAGAATCTGGACTGTCATTCGCAAGCTTTTGGGCGCCGTCGCCACAAAGATACGATTCTTCTCCATCGCTTTCATTGTCTTTTGTCCAGGTCTGCGATGAGCTCATTGAGGTATCGCCGCTCACATCTTGATCTTCTTTCGCTTCCAGTCTGCGTTGTATGGATCTAAGATCTGAATTAAACTCTTCTGCATGGCTCGCCATCTTTGCGATTTGCACGTTCCAGGTGACAAGCGAGGTCTTAAGATAGGATGCATCTAGCCAAGCTTCTCGCTTTTGTATATTTCTTTTGTTCATCTCCTTGCGATCCATTGCTTCGATACCATTAGCCTCGAAATCGAGTCTGAAGATCTTCGTCTCTATATCCACGATCGTTGCCTCTACAAGACCTACGTGTCGGAGAAGTTCCATTTCGGCAAAGATACCTGGCATGATCATCGGATGGCATGCCCGGTGCCTTATTCCGTCGAGCCTCCTCATGATTGATTGTTCTATGCTTTGGGTGCACCCATACATAACGGCACACGTAATGCCCGAGCTCCGAAGGTATGAAGATGATAAAGCCATGTCCGAGGGCCATGAGTTGGACGTCCGGCAGTTGTATACTGGTCTTGTCAGCATTGGATAGTACTCGTGCTTGAGGCGTACTGGCGTACCGTAAGCGGGTCCGTTCATAACCACTTTCTCGCATTGGAAGCTCGGAACATCCGTACGAGTCACCACCTTCGCAAACGACATATGAATGCCAAAGGTGTTACAAATATTCTTGAAAGTGTCGAGCGAAAATGGGAGTTCTGCGAGCCCCGGTTGCCGCTTTTTCCTCGACATAACGGTTTGGTTCATGTCATGTCCTTTGCCACATGCATCGAAGGTCTGACAACGACGCTGACCGCCTGTCATTATTTCGGCTCGAGTAAAATCGTGTTCATCGGGGCAGGATGCTATAGTTGACAAGTTCGTGTTTCCAGAGTCACCACCTGCTCGGCTCGCGAGGCTGATGAAATGGAGTCAGCAGAGATTCTGCAGCTTTAGGACGTGTGTACAATTGTACGTACATCAGTATAAGGCCGCTATCCGAGGTTTTTTGAGCTTCCACCTATATGTGGTCAGCCAAAGTAAGATCCAATATCCTGTCATGAGGACGTACAGAATTCAGCCACCGTTTCCATTCTTGTTCAGAACCAAGTCGCTGTTGTTGCAATACGTACTGGCAGGTCAGTCACAATCTTTGTCCGGGAACTGGCGGCTCATACACCCTCACTTTGCACTATCTTGATACCGACAGACTCCCGTGGGCGGTATCTGAAGATCCTCGACAGCGTCGTCTCTTGTGTTCCGAGGAACGCATCGTCGTCAGCCCAATCCATGCGGCTAGAGAATATCCAAGCGTTGCAAAGAGAGGTGATATGAGAAAGTAGAGACGAGTTCGCGGTCTGCAGTGAAAGTTGAAGTGAAGTCTGCGTCTAGAGCGCATAATAATCGCGACAGGGAGGCAATCTAGAAGGTGACATCGTCCAAGCGCGGGTGGCACTGACCACACACACCGGTCTTTCACCGGTGGTGTACAGACCTCGCGAACGTTAGACTATAGACCTCGGTGATCCACCTTGTGATTTCGTTTTCATTCCCGTAGTGCGCCGCCGCTGCGCCCTGCTCCAAGTTCAGAGGACACAACATAACCCGTGAGCATGCCAGCGCATCTCCGGTGGGGCAGATTGGCGCGAGCTTCGCCTGGGCCAAAGATGCAGCCTTACGAAAGCCATATATCACACCGGCCGCCTGCGCGCATGATCAATCCAAGTCCTTCCGTCGAAGTCGGGAGGTCCGGACTGCGCCACAATAAGCAACCTCGTTACCCCTCGTCACTGCGCCTCTCAGCCTGCCGTAGAAGTCGTCCTTCCAAGCGATGATCCTGATTTTAACCGCCAAGTATATCCAACGCGAGGCTCTGGAATTGTTCTTCGGCAAGCTGTTTCCCAGTGGCGATGCAGCAGTGGATGTAAGTTCAGCCTTGTGGAGCATGACGACATGCTGACACGCGCTCAGTACAAGCGTGGCGTCTTTCAATGCGAGCTTCCCAGGAAATTAACCAGCGTAAGTGGGCGTCGCAAGTCTTATGCAGAAGCCTAATTGTGTTAAGAGCGAATGGTTCGCGCTCAGAAACTCTGTCGTGTTCACGCACTACTCGGAAGGCTAGTTTAGTACCACGAGCCAGCTCCGCGAACCGCCTGGAATGAGCAAACGGAAGACGCCCGACAGAAGAAGAGCCATGTCTAGTCTATGAAATAACCATCGGTTCCCGCTGTTGTAACTACGCATACCTAAAACCATATACTTCCATATCGTGACTTGCGCTGATCAGTCCCCCAACTGTGTCAGCTGGTGTGGTGTCAGCGAAGCTTGAGTGTTCCCGCGAATCACGCTCAGTTTACTCTGGACTTGTTCGATCTCTTGCAATGCATTAACATGCAGATGCGCATCAACCACCACACGGGGCTTTGGTTGCAAACGCGAAGGTCTTGGGGTCAAGTACTGTAAGTTGATGTCATCATTGACCCCACGGCTCATGCTGTCCAGCCGCTCATGCAATTTGCGTGAGTCGATCCTGCTTTGCTGCGCCGATATGGGAATTATCATCTTATCTTCGACGAGGTCCAGAACATCGTGGAAGAACGTCGTGCAGTATTCATGTTTGTGGAGCTTCGTGATCCACTGATGGGTGATCAGTACTCTTCCGTGCGAATGTACGACGAACAGAAGAACTACTTACTTGGCCAACTTCTTCTTTCACCGACACCGCGTACTCTGTCGGCCCATCTTTGACCTTCAAGACCTCGAAAAAAATGTCAGAGCGAACGTTTGTCGCTGGATACAACGTTCTTCGCTCCTTCGCAAACTGCGCGCGAAGCGGCTGACCTCCTAGAGCCCAGCAGACCAGCTCGAGAAGCACACAGCCATACGTCCAGACGTCAAAGGCACGCGAGACGACCCCTCCTACTAGATCGCACTCAGGAGGGCGGTACGTCAGAGTTACTGGCACGTAACGTCCGGGTTGCGCTGAGCGGCTCTTCGTCGAGTTGAAGGTAGTCAGCCCCAGATCAGCCAGCACCAATATCCCTCTCTTGTCACTCGGAGACCTATACCAGAGAATGTTCTCTGGCTTGATATCACCATGTCGCGCATATCTCTTTTGATTGGAAGCCAGTTCGACATTGCGAAAGTTGTGCATGGTATCCAGGGCTCCCGCCATGCCGACGATCTGTTTCGCAATCCATCGCACGTAGTCCACGTCTGGAACTCCAGCCCTAATCGGCAGTTCATGGTGTTCCCAGTAATTGTCTAAGTCATACTCAGCCCAGACGAAGAGAAGAAAGTAGTCGTTGCTGGTCTTCCATGACATCAGAAGTGTGATGAGATGGTCGTGAATAAAACCGCTGAATCTTTGCAGAGCTTTGACCTCCGCCTCGAAGTTCATCTCCTTCTTTCTTTGCTGTGCATGGCTTATCTTCTTCACTGCGAAACAGTCATTCGTGGCGATCTAATCTCATACAGTCAGCAGAATATCCTGTGCCAATCTCCAGCGCGGCCTACCGAATTGAGGGCACGGTCGAAGCCGTGTGAGCGGGCATCGATCACAACTTTGTATACTTCACTGTATCCACCGGCACCGCTGCTTTCCTCCGTGAGGAAAGGTAATAGGACTTTCGGCTCCAAGTTTATTTGTCTCACTGTCGTCCCATCCCCTTCGAAATCCAGGAACAAAGGAATCATCCCATACTGCGTGTGCCGGAAACTGTCCAGCTCGAATGGTTTCCATTTGCTAAAGCAAGGTCTTGTCTTTTGCGATGATTCCGAAGAAAGGGGCAAGTCTTCGTCTCTTACATTCTCATCGATGAAGAGCTGAATCTCTTTCTCTCTCCCGTGAATGATGAGAATTGCAAACACTTTCCGATGATATGTCGCAATTTTGTTCGCAAGCACGTCGTTGCTGCAAAGCAAATCGGCAATCACAGTCTCCGTCAGTATCTCATTCAGAATCAGTTCTGGCCAGAAGCGGTCATTGTCTTTGTTGTGCAGGGCTCGCTCGTAGAGTATGGATTGGACGTCGACGCTCGTCTTTTCTATCGCGACTTCGTTGGATTCCGACGCGCCGTCGTCGAAGTCCTCCATCACGCCCCGGCCTTCTTCATCGATGATCTGAATGGTAGGTGTCGTAACCCTGGATGGTCCCCCCGCCGGGGAGGTCGCAGGAAAGTCATGAGCTGCAGACATATTTGGAAACCAGTGCCTAAGATTCTACCGCAAAATGCTTACAACCACTATCATAAATATATCGGCCACGCGATCTCGCACATAGCCCTCGCTCATAGTAAGACGGTGGCTGGTCAAAGGCTGAGCATCATCCGGTGAAGCCACCCCAGCTACCGTACGAAGGCTGTGAGTGGTCGAGGCTGAGGGACCTTTTCTCAAAAGCGTCGTGAGTGGTGGGTGTTGAAGAACCCCACCAAGCGAGATTAGTGCCTTACCACAAGGCAACATCGGACATGCGCGATGGCTCGTAGCTGAGGGAGCTGCTACCCCTATGGGCCGGTGAGGACGTCGAAGTTAACGGTGGCGGTGCCGACAATGGAACATGCTTATGTGGTGCACTGCGTAGGCCGAGGAGATCGGGGGTATGACTGGCTGTTCCGTCTTTGGTAAGCGAGGCATTATGAATCCAAGTGAATGGTAAAGAGGTTTGCAATTTGCTTCCAAACGCTTTCGACTTGATGTCAACGCCATTGTTATTATAAGAGAACTAACGAGCACTAGATACTACCGATATATTCAGAACAGAGCCGCCAATATGGGCAGAGAAGCCAGTTGGACCCCTTCGATATTGGGTTACTACCGAATCAGCCAAAAATCGCGACATAGCCCTCAACGGACAGAATGACATCTCTCTTCAACTAGATCCAGAAGCCGAACTCCTTAGCCACATCTTCTCCCGATGAGGACCGCTGCTTGTTTGCAGAACCAGCTGCTGTCAGCGACGCGTCGGGCTGGCAAGCCGCATCAATGTAATGGGGTTTCCGGTTTTTGTTTCCGCAATGCGAACATGGCCGAGAACCACTAGGAGTAGTCGAATCTTCAAAATTGTAATCAAGACGACGGGAATAATAAATCGAAGGTGACTGTTCGACTACCGTCTTGCGCTCTCTCGTTGTGTGGCCTGCCTCAGCGGACCGAACCCTCAGCGCGTCTTGGGTAGATTTGATCGGCGAGACTCGGGGACGCGTACGGGACGATGCGCTCGGTTTGCGATCTTTGGAATGACTTGCGGCAGTGCGCGCACTACTCATGCCGTTTGCAATAATCGGTCGTGGGCGTGATGTTTGTACTGAGGCGAGTGCAGCTGCATCATGCACAGTCTTCTGTCTGCAGTCCTCGTACCATTTCCTGTGATTTTCCTGAATCTCTTGTCTCTTCCCTTCCTCTTCTTCTCTTTGAAAGTCTCTGGAAGTGCGATGGGCGTAGCTTTGTCTAAAATCGAAATTCTTGTGACTATCTTCACCTTGGTCACGCGACACATCTAAGGTGGAACTGGTCGACGAGGTTTCGGTATGAGTTCGGAACGACGCACCCGGCTTGTTATCTTTGGGAGTATTTATGGAACGCCGCGAACTACTCATGTCGTTTGAAATGATCGGTTTTGGATCTGGGGGCTGTAATGAGGCGAGATGCGCTGCCTTGCTTGCGGCATTTTCTTGTCGGTGCTTCTGTAAAGTTAAATGCGTGTTCAAATCCGCCATTATCTTTTTTCTCGTCCGTTTCTCACTTTTTTCGCCCCAACGAATGTGCCAACTTTCGATGTAGTCTTTCGTTAGACCGTGATTTTCAAGAGTATCTTTCAATATAGTCAGTAACGGGTCATAGATTATGACGGCACAAATAGCTTACCGCGGTGATGCTCGCCGTGAACAGTGTGCCGATCTGTCTCGTGAGATACTCGAACTTTCTCGTGGTGCTTTCTAGCCTCATTGTTCGTGGTAACACTCTTTGGAGCCAAGTTACGGTTTTCTTGTTTGGGCCTCGGTGCTAGCTTTTCACCAATACCTTCGGCTCTCCCATGAACACTGCTCTTGTCGCATTCTGGTTCCCAACGATGAAGAGCGCCTGTCTCGGGGTCCTCCTCTTCAACGTAAGCTTGCTTGTCAGATTTGCTTCTCCCGCGATCATGACGTGTAGCAGGGTCGTGTAAATGACGTCTTGCGCGTAAACGATCGTGTTCTGAACTGTCTGCCAGCGCGTCATTAACAAAAGACCCTCCCGATGTCACCGCACCAGTCTCACCAGGTTGGCATAGTTTCAGTGCCTTCTTTCTCGAGAAGGCCACATCACGGTATCTTTCTTCAGACCATGTACTGTAGTTCTTGGGTTCCTGATTCATGGCGCCTCGATTGGGGATGTAGTCGTGAGAGTGAAAATGTTCTAGAGTAGTTTTCAATTCGAAGAGGTTTTATATCATGTCCAAATGAGTCCACCACGGTGGTCGAGTGACTGGCCCGAGTAGGAGTAGTCATGGTCGTTGACGGCGTCTGGGAGAGACGTGTGAGAGAAGCCGCGTCAAAGATGTGTACATGTTGAGTCTTCGTTTGACGCACATTGGTGTATGACAATACGCGAATGGTATGACTCCGATGTTCTACTTCTCATCAGATTTCGGCTGAGAAGGCTGAATCGGATATAGGAAGAGACCCTGCGAAGATGCGTGTAAATCCTGGCCCATGAGATTGCGGCGTTTTCAGGCGCATGAAATGCCTGATCCTTTGCGCCACCGCCAGATGCCCTCACCTTTGGGGCCAACAACAATCGCATTGAGCTTGGACTCCAGAGTTTAGATCGATCGCAGCGGTGACGAAAGCCCAAATTGAAATGCCACGTATTTTGCGCTTGAAAGTTCACCTAAATGGGAGGGCGCAGCGCACACTAGATCCGCGGAGCATCTCACCATGGACCGTGTAATCAGTAGATCCTTGGACGCGGCTGTTTTGGGCGAAGACTTAATGCTTGTGGTGCTCGAATGTCATCGTGCGTCGAAACTTGTTGAAGTAGTGGTCCAAGACATGCGCAAAGGGCAGCCCCTTGCTGCAGCCCTGTGTCTTCGCATACGCCCCTGCCCTCAGTTTCGGCCGAGATTTCTGAGTGCAGATTGGTCCAGAGTCAATTGCGCTGCAGGAAGAGAAACATTGCCGAGCTATCGCAATTGTAAATTTAGCAGCCGGCAGTCGCTTCTGATGCATATCTAGTGGGTTGTTGCCCACGATCTTGTTTACCAGGACCCTCGACGAGCTGCGAACACTGGAGAAAACTACGCATTGATCTTATCAGCTTACCCCGAGTCGGAACACCTTCAGTACTGTATGACAACCGGAAAGACATGGGAGAAAGAGACCCATGACGTCCAGATCTTCAACATGGCTCAGCGGCTGTCGGTGGATTGTATAACGACCTTGGGGAGCGAGAGGGGAGACATGGGATGCGCGGAAAGATAAGGAGAGCGCGAGCATGCCAGGACTGTGCTATCTCGCAGGCACACTGATCCCATACCTTTTCGAAGCACGAAGCCAGATCTGGATGTCGCGACAAACAACATATCCAATAGCGACTCTCACGTCGTTGAAGAGGCGAACTCGCTGGGTTATCACCGCGCACTTTATGCGCAGTCGTCTGGGAAACAGTGCTCGGAGAGTACGATCGCAGATCCGCCACTGCAGTCAGAGTCTTCGTACCCAAAGAGCAGCCTAATCTCGTCAGCCGCACGGCCTGATGCCTGCGTCTCGGGCGATCACCGCGTCCTTGGCGAGCGTATTGGAGCTAGAGCAAGAAGCCTTTTGAAATCGACGATTAGCATGAGGCACTCGACATTGGAAAATATTCGCAAATCCGTCGTGCAGGCAAGCGACTTTCGCCTACCTCCTCAACAGCCGGAGAAACGCTTCGTTGACGACATCGGGATGTTATTCCCTGGGGTCTCCGACCGTCAACAATGTAGTCGCTCCGAAGCGCATTTCGTGACATCCTTCCGCCTCTGCGAACCTACAGAGTACACAACTGCGCTAGCAGACCATGGCCTCACGTATGAAGATTATTGCCGCTTGACAACTGCGCTGCGAGACTTCTTGAACAGGATTTGGACGGGAGTAAGGAGAAAGAGATGTGCAGGACCGGTCGCGGCATCCCCTGCTGAAGCCGGTCAACGCAAGACTTCCGGAAAGAAGCACGGGCCAGGCAAATGCGGCAGGTTTTGGGACACAACCGAGCAGTTGAAGAAGAACCAGCAAGAGGCCGTCGCGCTCAATCAGCTACTTGAAGAGATAACATGGAATCTTCAAGCTAGGGGCGTTTCGGTGATGGTTTGCGTGCATTCGTTTTCGCTTTTCGCGCCCTCTCGTGTCTCAGACTCACATATCCAGATTCTCCATGTCGACCGCGACCAAACCTTGCAAGCGGCACTGATGTCTGCGCCTCCAGTCAAGCCGAGTCAGCGTATGGGTCAGCGTCTGTCCTTCATCGATGTATTTCCATGCGCTGAGTCTGGACCAAGACCAACACTTGGGCGTCAAGCAATGTCTGCGGCGGAGACGATCAAGTGTGCAGATGGTCTCATACCCCACCACGCACAAATTCGAGATCGTTCGAAGCCATATCCTCTTTGTCCCAACGCTGTCCCGCTTCGTAAGCGGGAGGTTCTGAGTGTCAATATCGATCGATACGGTGTCGATCCTTACTTTCGAGCCTGGATGAGAGCAAGCATCAATGCCAGCACGCGGCGCAGTACATATGCAAAGTATCTGGCTGAGATGGAGGATAATCCTCTAGTGAATAGGAGGAAGCAGTATGCCGATACTAAACTCAAGCAGGATATCATTGCCGCGCTTGTGAGCGATGATCGGGCGTGGAAGGAGCAGTTTCCTAGTGCCGTGAACAGAACCAGCTACGAGCATAACAGAAGATTGGAATGCCGTCAGACGGTAGAGCGAGGGACCAGACTCCGAGTACTGCGCTTCGGATTCAGACATCCCATCTATCCGCCTCATACACCTGAAATGGATGCCCTCGGCCTCAACAAGCATGCGTACCACGCGATCTTGACGGACATCGACCGAATGCACACGAAGCTGCGCCTCAGAACGAGATGTCCAGGAATGTATGTCGTAGCATCGGTGATGAAGGTTCGGCGAAAGGGGACTAAAGACGCGGTTATGAAAGCGAGGGAGTACATCCGACGA